CGTTTGCCCGAGTGCGAGTCATTGCGGGCTCGGGTCTTTCCACCTGGGGCGGGACGCGGGGGCTCCGTGGGAGTCAGGCGTGGAACCTCGGCCTCCCGGCTATTCGAGCTGCTTGCTCTCCAGCACACCGGCGGGATGGGACGTTTTCGCACCTTAGGCCCCACCCCCCCCGACCGGAAAGCGGAGCCAGGCCTCTCGGGCCCCGGGAAATGGAAGAGTTAACGAATCCGGTGAAAAAAAAAGGGAGTCCGAGCCTTTAAGAAGTTTGGGGACGACCAGAAATTTCTTAGGCACGGAGAGGCCGGGACCCTGAGTCTTGGGTTCCCAGGGGTAGGGATTTCTGCGTTTGCAGGAGGGTGTGCGACCTGAAAACGGAAGCAGTAGTCTGGTCATCATCTAGCAGGGTGGACAGAATCCCTCCCTTTGGTCTCTGTAGGGCCTTTTCCTGCCTTGAGCCAGAGGAGTGGGACTTCTGGTGGACCGTGCTAGAATGAAATAGCTGTGGTGTCCTCTCTGCATCGGAGCAGTGCTTTTGGTGTTCTGGGAGAATGCACACAAGGGGCTTTGTGGTGTCACGGTGTCCCCATCGCTTGGGGCAGAAGTGTGAGCTGCAAGTCAGTGTGTATCCTTTAGGGCAAAGCTTTTCGAAGGCCTACGGAGGAGTTATTGGTTTGTCTGTTGAAAGAAAATCAAGTCAGGAAACTGCTTCTTAAGGCAGAGTGAAATTAGGTATATATACAAGGAGGATGGGTAAAAGCAGTTTCCCCAGTTTTCTCTAGAGACTTTTGTGATGGCTTTTAATATAGACTCAAGTTTCCTACTGTTTTTCAGTTTGAAATGGCAGTTCTCAAAGTGTGGTCAGTAGCCTGCTTCTGACTCACTGAGTTGCTTTTTCAGTGCATTTTTAAATTTATTCGATGAGCGTTTTTTGATTGTCTAGCGTGTGCCAGCTGCAAACAGTTTACAGCTTCCTGGCTCCTCACTGAACCCATTGCATTTGGGTGATGTTTGGAAATCCACCTTTGGCACCTGGTGATTTAATTAATGCGCATTGAAGTTTGAGAACAAGTCACTTAGGGCAGAATTGGCCAAACTACAGTCAGCTGACCGAATCCAGCCTGGTGCCTGTTTTTATACAGCCCATGAACTAAAGATGGTTTTTACATTTTTCAAATGGTTGGGAAAAAGTAAAAAGAAAAATAATGTTTCATGACACGTGAGAAATATATGAAATTAAAATTTCAGTGTCCAGAAGTAAAGTTGTATTGGATCATAGCTACTCTTGTTATATGGTGTCTATGGCTGAGTAGCCTAAAATATTTACTATCTGGCTCTTTGTAGAGAATGTAGAGAAAGTTTGCCGACCCCTGGCTTAAGGAAAGAAGGAAATATGGTAGGAAAGAAAAGCATTGTCTAGAAAAGTCATGTTTAGAAATTAATAGATAAAATGGGTTTAGGTAAATTTTATTTTTATAAAAGTGGAGGGAATAGTGTTTTCTGGATTAATGCAAAAGTATTTAGGTAAATGCAGGCATTTAAGTAGGATTTTCATAGAGATTGTGAACCTGTGCCCTTAATAAATTGGCTAATATATGTTTCTTTTCATAGGTTGGGTGAACTCATGGATCTGATACTTTTCTCTTGAGAAATAAACTAGATCAAAAGAAAAATGGCATTTGTTGCAACACAAGGGGCCACAGTGGTTGACCAAACCACTCTGATGAAAAAATACCTTCAGTTTGTGGCAGCTCTCACAGATGTAAATACCCGTGAGTTGATCCTTCTTGTCATTAAGAAGTGCATTTATATGACTCATTCATCTCAGTTCAAAGAATGTGCACATGGAGATAAATAATAACATTAACTTTTGTCCCAATTTTCTGTTTTTCTGCCTGTGGAGAAGCAAAGTGATGAGCATTACTGGCTGGAGCCCCAAAGAGGCACGTGTGTGTGTGTGTGTGTGTGTGTGTGTGTGTCTGTCTGTGTCTCTGCCTGTGTCTGTGTCCTTGTCTGCTTGCACACATATGTCTGGGAGTATGAATGTGTGTGACTGGTTGTAGGGAACTAGTTATGTGCCTTCTGTTGGACCATGACAGTCAAACTGATAAGATCTGATTGCTTCTCTTATTAAATCCAGTAATTTTAGGACCATCCTTAACATAATTTCAATTGCCTGATAATTTTTTTGGTCATTTTACAGCTGATGAAACAAAGTTAAAAATGATGCAAGAAGTTAGTGAAAATTTTGAGGTATGATCTTTTATATTTTATGCTTTTCATTTTGAGCTAAATATTGTCATGGGCTTTCCTTTTGCTTCTTTGTCAATCTTTTTACTAGTAACTCAAAAAATGTTTGCGCTGTTAATGTAACTTATTGTATTTTAAAAGTGAAATTTGAAAGTTTGTACACAGTGTTGTCCAACTTCTTCATACTAGTGATACTTGTGTTGGTTTTGGTTGTTTAATATTTTTTCTTTTCTTTTTAAAATTTACTTTTTGATTTTAGAAAGAGAGGAAGGGGAAGAAGAGAGAGAGAAACATCGATTTGTTGTTCCACTTATTTATGCTTTTATTGGTTGATTCTTATATGTGCCCTGACCAGCGATCGAACCCCCAACCTTGGCGTAGTGGGATGACACTCTAACCAAGTGAGCTACCTGGCCAGGGCACATTTTTTCATTTTTAAATATGGTAGCTCTTTAGGCATATACTCTCAGGATGCACTCAAACTTTTGCTGTGAATTTATGTTCAGGCAATAAATGGTATGTTACTATGGAATGAGAGCTGCATATCAGGTTTGGCTCTGTGACTTATAACTTCTGTGACCTTGATCAAGCAGTATCTCTTCAGGGCTTTACAAACTACAATTATATTGTCCATTAGGTCCCTCAGGCTCTCTTCATTTTCTAGTTTTTTCCTTTTTTGTTTTTTAGATTGAATAATTTCTAGTGATGTGCCTTTGAGTTCACTATTTTTCTGTCATCTCCAATCTGCTGGGATGTTATTTTTAAATTTTAATTTATATGTATTTAGTTTTTGTATTTTAAAATTTCAGTTATTGTAGTTTCAGTTATAGAATTTCCATGTGGTTCTTGATAGATTTCACTTCTCTGCAGATCCCTTGCCTTCATATATTATGACCATATTTTCCTTTTATTCTTTGAACATATTTATAATGACTAAAGTTTGTTAAATACAACATTTAGGCACTATAAAAATTGATTTCTATTGACTGTGGGTCACATTGTCTGTTTCTTTGCATGTCTAGTAGTTTTTAATTGTATGGTACACATTGTATATGAGATGTAGAGACTGTACATTCTGTTATTTCCCTCTGAAGAGTGTTGAGATTGTATATATTGTTGAAAGTATTACAGATGTCCCTTTTGTCCCCCATTGACCCCTTTCACCCCGATCCTGCCCCCTTCCCCAGGCCTTCACTGCATTATTGTCTGTGTCTATGGGTTATGCATATATGCATATAAGTTCGTTGGTTAATCTCTCCCCCCACCCCTCCACCCCCTCTGAAATACATCAGTCTGTTGCATGCTTCAGTGTCTCTGGGTCTATTTTGTTTATCAGTTTGTTTTGTTCATTAGCTTCTTCTTAAAGAAGACTATTCATTTCCTGTAATACTGGTTTGGTGGTGGTGAACTCCTTTAGCTTTTTCTTGTCTGTGAAGCTCTTTATCTGACCTTCAATTCTAAATGATAGTTTTACTGGGTAATCTTGGTTGTAGGTCCTTGCTTTTCATCACTTTGAGTATTTCTTCAAATATTCTTCAAAGTTTATTTTTTCCTTAAAAAAATGTATTTTTTGGTGTGCCACAGAACTTTATTTTTAATATGACTTTATTGATTTCAGAAAGAGGAAGGGAGAGGGAAAGAGAGAGATAGAAACATCAGTGATGAGAGTCATTGATTGGCTGCTTCCTGCACATCCCCCCCGGGGGTCGAGGCTGCAGCCCAGGCATGTCCTTTGACTGGAATTGAACCGAGATCTCCTGGATCATAGGTTGATGCTCAATTGCTAAGCCTTGCTGGCCTGGCTGGCCTTCAAACTTTCTGTTGAGATATCAGCTGACAGTTGTGTGGGTGCTCCCTTGTAGGTAACTAATTGCTTTTCTCTTGCTGCTTTTAAGATTCTCTTTGTCTTTAACCTTTGGCATTTTAATGATGATGTGTCTTGCTGTGGGCCTCTTTGGGTTCCTCTTGTTTGGGACCTTCTGTGCTTCCTGGACTTGTAAGTCTATTTCTTTCACCAGGGAGGGGAAGTTTTCTGTCATTTTTTCAAATTGGTTTTCAGTTTCTTGTTCCCTCTCTTCTCCTTCCGTTTCCCTATGATGCATATGTTGGTATCCTTAAAGTTGTCCCAGAGGCTCCTTACACTATTCTCGTTATTTTGGATTGTTTTTTCTTTTTGCGGTTCTGATTGGGTGTTTTTTGCTTCCTGGTATTCCAAATTGCTGATTTGATTCTCGGCTTCCTTTACTGTTGATTCCCTGTAAATTATTCTTCATTTCAGTTAATGTAGCCTTCATTTCTGACTGGTCATTTTTTATGTCATTGATGTTCTCACTAGTTTCCTTGAAATTCTCACTAAGTTTCTTGAAATTTTCATTAAGTTCCTTGAGCATCCTTATAACCATTGTTTTGAAATCTGCATTTAGTTGTTTGCTTCCATTTCATTTAGTTCTTTTTCTGGAGATTCCTTCTGTTCTTTCATTTGTGACATGTTTCTTTGTCTCTGCATTTTTTGCTGCTTCCCTGTGTTTGTTTCTATGTATTAGGTAGAGCTGCTGTGTCTCCTGGACTTGGTAGAGTGGCCTTGTGTAGTAGGTGCCCTGTAGGGAACAGTGGCTTAGCCTTCCCCATCACCTGACCTGGGCATCCAGGTGTGCCCATGTGGGCTGTGTGCACTGTCCTGTTGTAGTTGAGCCTTGATTGCTGTTGGTGTCACTGGGAGGCATTGACCTCCAGGCCAATTGGCTGTGAGGACCACCTGCGACTACAATGGAAGAGCTGCTGTACAGGAGACACCCCTATGGAGCAGGATTTACTTCAGTGGAGCTTTGTTGTTCACCAAGTCCACCCCTTGAGTGTGTCACCTGTGGATGTGGTAGGGTTGTAATCTGGCATGGTTGAAGCTGATCACCGGGTGCACTGTCTCTGGGTCATCCCAGTAGGTGCAGTCAGCCTCTGCCTGTGCCCTGCCCAGCAATGAACTACCCAGCAATCTATAGTTGGTTGTTACTTGTGCTAGGCTTAGAGGTGCCTGGGAGAGGCCAAGCTATGAACCAAGTTGAGCTGCTGCTAGTGCTTGGCCTGGGGCCACTTACTGATCTGGTATGGGGAATGCTGAGGCCAGCTGCTGCTTGTTTAAGAGATTTTAGGAAAATCTGAAGCATGCGGCAAGAGAGGCCAGTTGTATGTGAAAGCCACTGAAAACAGCTTGGGTTGACCTGCAAATTTGGTGGGGCGGGGTCTCAGGAAATCACCAGGGCTGGGTGAAAAGTGTAAGCTAGGTTGATGGAGATTCAGATATGGCGCCTGTCTGGGGTCTCTGGGGGGGAAGGGCTTGTCAAAAGAGCAATGGCCTCTGCCAGCTCTTCTGTCTGGGAGGAAGCTGCCCTTCCAGCTCTTGCCCTGATTGTAGGCAAGTTAGTTCCTTCCCCAGTGTCCCAGGTTTCTTTCAGTCTGCTGCCCCAGTGCTCGAGCTCAGAGGGAGTGAGTCTGAGCAAGCCTGTGCCCGAGCCCTTTAAGAGGAATGCCTGGGTCTCCAGCAGCCTCCGTGTCACTCAGCCACAATCCCTGCTGGTTTTTTGTTTTTCTTTTTAATCCTTATCGGAGGATATTTTTTCCCATTGCTTTTCAGAGAGAATGGAAGGAAGAGAGAGAGAGACAGAAAGAGAGAGAGGGGAACATCGATGTGAGAGAGACACATTGTTTTTCTCCTACATGCGCCCTAACAGGGGCCAGAGATCGAACCTGCAACCCACATATGTGGCCTTGGTCAGGAATCGAACTTGAGACCTTTTGTAATGGGTGCTGACGCTCTATTCACTGAGCCACACCAGTCAGTGCTGGTGTGTTTTTAAAAAATAGATGTTTTCAAAGACTTGTTGCCTTGAACTGAGCTGGAAAAAAAATTCCGAGATATGTAGAGAAAGCTAAAGAGTTTTCTCTGCTGCCCGAGCTGCTAATGCAAATTATTAAAAGCATACAAAGAAAGAGGTGGGAGGTAGAACAAGGTAGGCCTGCATTCTACATTTTATTGGAAGAACCGATAGGAGAGAACCAGAGCCCTGGCACGGTTGAGAAGCTGAAGCCACAGAGCAACAGGTGAACTTGTAAGAACAAGCACATTAGGCAGGCCTCTGAATTAGACTTGGGCTCTCTGGATTAAGTGTCTGACAGTTATAGCAAGTTCCTGGCTTTGGTTTCAGATGTATTGATTAAATTAGCAGAATTGAAAGTTATTGAAACAGGATACTTGGGCCTTTCCAAATAGTGACTTTTGAAATCTGTATGACATAGACATTTAGCTTAAATTCAGGTGACTAAGTTCTTCAAAGAATTAAATACTAGAATGACCATCAGTAGGTAATTCTAAATTACCACCACTGCCATCCCAGAAAAAAATATTTAAATGAAGTGAGTGAAATTAAAAAAATAATTCCCTGTTTCAGGAGTCTTAGGAATTCATTTCACTAACACTCAGGGATAAGATTGTAGGCTAAGTAAATATCGTATGGATCATCTTTCAGGACAGAAAATAAGGAAACCAAGTTAGAAATCACATGAAAAATTCATATGGATCAAAATGCTGGGGGCTGAGTTAAAATGCTGGAAGAATAACTGGGCAATTTGTTTAATGATACTTTAAAAAAATTTTATTTATTGATTTTAAAGAGGAAGGAAGAGAGAGAAACAGTGATTTGTTGTTTCACTTATTTATGTATTCATTGGTTGATTCTTGTATGTGCTTTGACCTGGGATTGAACCCACAACCTTTGCTGATTGGGAAGCTGCTCTAACCAACTGAGCTACCTGACCAGGGCTAATGAGTCTTTTTACTCAGATGTTTTGAAGGATATGGAATCAATGGTTGGTATGGGCTTCTGTGCAGGTTAGCTTGATTCTTTGATAACCTTGGTAATGTTTCAATATAAAGCTTATTCCTCTTTTCCTCGAATCCTTGAATTTAGGTGTTTTGTAAAAAGTCTTAAGTTTTGGGGATGGAAGGTGACAAATACATTAAAAACAAATTTATTAATTTTAGAGAGGAATGGAGGGGCAAGGGAGAGAGAGAGAGGGAAAGAGAAACATCGATGTGAGAGAGAAACATTGATCGGTTGCCTCTGCCAACCGGGGATTGAACCTATAACCCAGGGATGTGCCCTGACCAGGAACTGAACTGGACTTTACGGTGCACAGGATGATGCTCCACCAGCTGAGCCACACCAGCTGGGCTGTTCGTTTTTTCTTGATATCTGTCTTTCCCACCACACTGCTGCCTTCTCTGAGGGCATGAATTGTATACTTTCTTCATCATTTTATCTTCATTGAGCACCTGATGGGACCTTAATACATATTTATTGAATGAGCAGGTGAGATTTTAAAAGGGAGAAAGGACTTGGATTTTACTCTTAATTTGAATCCACTTTCAAAAATTACCGATTCTGACATTCAGCAAGTTTTTAACCTCTCTGAGCCTCTGTCTTTATCTGTGAAATGGGCATAATATTTACCGAAGGGTTATGGTGAGGCCTGAGTGAGAAAGAATAAAAGGCATGTAACACAGTATTTATTTAGTATATAAGTGCTCTGTAAATATTAACATAATATTTATTGAGCATTTACCATAGACACTGTTGTAGTTTACATGAGTACATAAGATGGGAAATATTATCCTCTGAACAGATAGGGTCACTGAAGCACAGAGGTTTGTAATCTTAAGTGGAATCCAGAAACTGCACAAGTAGCCATTTTACTATCCTATTTCCAAACTATAGTTTTATTTCCTATTTTCCTTTTAAAATTAGTGCTGGGATAAATAATGAATTAAATTTGATTATAATCTAATTCATCTAGATTAATCTAATTAATAAATTAGATTTTTAGATTGGAAAAAGGTGTCAGTTTTTGTGTAGGCTCTTCATTTTCTATGTGAAGAAACTTAGCTCAAGAAGCTAAATGACTTTTCAGAGGTCTCCTTTAGTGTGACAGAGCCAGCCTAAAACTGGCTCCAAGTCAACATTTTCCACAGCATTAGTATTTCTAGTTTTAACAGTAAATTTTAGCATTTTGTTTTCTTGAATTGGATTTTAGAAGCAACAATCGTCTTAATTTGTTTAAAACTATGTTATCACCCAAGCATCTAAAAGTATTAAAAATTACTGTTGATTCTGGTAAAGTGTTTTATATTCTTTTGAGGTTATTATAATACTAGATGAATTTGAGGTGAAAATATATACAGAAACTAATGGGGTTTTCTTTTACTTTTGCATAATTAGAATGTAACATCATCTCCTCAGTATTCTACATTCCTGGAACATATCATCCCTCGGTTTCTTACATTTCTTCAAGATGGAGAAGTTCAGTTTCTTCAGGAGAAACCAGCCCAGGTAATCTGTTTAAAACTATCAATGAGGGAAAAAATGTCATGGAGTAGGACTGCAAGCATTTATGAATTAAAACAACTAGAAAAACCTGTGGTTCCACTTAAAAATGAAAGAGGTTTTGTCACATAAGGATAACTTTGCCCAAGGCTTTTGCCTCCTTAGTTAAATGTCTTGGTTTTATTTTGTCAAGAACATCTCTTTTACAGTTTATTTACATTTGCTGACTTGTGTGTGTACACTATTTGTTGCAAGTGAATTAGAATATATACAAAAGAAAGAACGGTAGTCTGTTGACCCTCCCCATACCATTGCCCAACTCTACTGTTACTCATTTCAATTCTTTTAATTGTTGGCCAATTTTGTTTTACCTGTAGCCCCACCTACTCTTTTTACCTCCTTGTCTTGATTATTTTATTTTATTATTTTATTTTTAAACATATCTTTATTGATTTCAAAGAGAGGGAAGGAAGGGGGAGAGAGAGAGAGATAGAAACATGAATGATGAGAGAGTCATTGATCAGCTGCCTAGTCCGCAACCTGGGCATGTGCCCTGACTGGGAATCAAACCCCGATCGCCTGGATCCTAGGTTGATGCTCAACCTCTGAGCTACTCCCGGCCGGGCTTGTCTTGATTATTTTAAAACAGTCTTACCACATCTTTTTTTTTTCTAGAGTTCAACATGTATTTCTTAAAAATATCTAAAAATATTACCACAATACCAGTGAAAGTGTATTGCTAAATAAAGCATTTTTATGTACCAGTTAAAGATATATATATACACACACACACACACACACATATATATGATCTACCTTTTATGTATTTATTTTTAAAGAATAGTTTATTGATTTTTAGAGAGGAAGGGAGAGGGAGAGAGAAACATCGATGTGAGAGTGCACCATTGATCAGCTGCCTCTTGCACGCCCTACTGGGGATCAAGCCCCAAACCTGGGCATGTGCCCTTGACGGAATCCAACTGACAATCTCCTGGTGCACGGGACAGTGCCCAGTCAACTAAGCCCAGGACTGATCTACTTTTTAGTTGTCAGCTCCATAGACAGAATCATGAAAGCTTAGTATAGCTTAGGATGAAATTAGTCCTTGGGCCCAAGGTAATTGGGGAGAACGTTATAGGAGCTAACCTGAGATTATGGAGGGAGATCTCAAATGAAGTTCTGTTTGTTTTGCTCTTTCATCTCTCTCTCTGTCTTTTTAATCCTCTCTTCACTCAAGGGTATTTTTTTCCATTGCTTTTTCAGCAAGAGGAAGAGAGAGAGAGAGAGAGAGGGAAACATCGATGTGACAGACACATCCACTGGTTGCCTCTCGCATGTGCCCCAGACGGGGCCTGGGATCAAGCCTGCAACCGAGGTACATGCCCTTGACCGGAAGCAAACCCAAGACCCTCAGTCTGCGGGCCACCGCTCTAACCACAGAGCAAAACCTGCTAGGGCTGCTCTTTCATCTTAAATCCATTCCACATTGACACACTAGTGCCCTTTCTGCTGGAAATAAGGTGTGAAAGAGGGAAAATTTGACTTACTTGATTTGGTATGCAGTTGTAGAAATATCGAAAGTAATGGTTTGCAGGACGTGCTTTGGATTCTATTGATATAATATACAGGAGTGTTTCTAAAATGGGATTGATCCTGTGGGATGATGGTTACCAGTGCTGGGTACAGACAGTTGTGTGGTACTTGTAGAGTGCGAAAGAATTACTTTGAAACCCTTGGAAGGATTTTATATTTATATTTTTATTTTTCTTCAGCAACTGCGGAAACTAGTTCTTGAAATAATTCATAGAATACCAACCAATGAACATCTTCGTCCTCATACGAAAAATGTTTTGTCTGTGATGTTTCGCTTTTTAGAGGTAACCTTTGAGAATTCTTAATTCACAGTATTAAAAATCTCAGTGATTTTCTAAATGTAAAATCCAGTGTTATACAATTATTTCCTTTTCACTAAAGTTCTGATTCACATTAGTAAAAATTTTCTTAATGTCCATTTCCCCAGCCAAATTACTATGAAAGATTATTAGTTGAAGTTTTATTTTGTTTTTCTGAGTCACTGAGAAATTGACTCTACATAGTAGAAATCTTTCAATATGAGTTGGATGGTCATTGACAAACTCAGAGTACAGGGTTCTTTGGCTTTGTGCTTTCTAGTTTTGTGTTTCAAGCATAGTAGGTGCTCATGAAGAGTTTCTCAAATTCTTGGGTCTAATCCATCTAGTACCTGTTAAGTTAATCTCTAAAATTATTTTCTTGCTGTTCTTAGTCTTTATGTGTTTAGAATTATATTGTGTTTCTGGGCCGCTTGGAATGATGAGCTTTGGAGAGGGGAGAGAGTTGGTCCACCGAAGACTACAAAAGCTTCCTGTTTGGGCAGCTGTGTTTTGTGGTTTAATGAATTTTCAAATCAGATCTAAGTTGGTTGATGGGGCATGTGTATAAATAAAAATGCTTAGAAAATAGTCTTTAATCTTTAGATTAAAATAAGTTCTCAGAATTGTAACCCTAAATGCTTTTTTTAAAGACGGAAAATGAAGAAAACGTTCTTATTTGCCTGAGAATAATTATTGAGCTACACAAACAGTTCAGGCCACCCATCACACAAGAAGTAAGTATTTATCCTGAGAGCATTTCTGAAGTGTGCTGACAAGTTCCTTATGTAAATTTTTATTCTCTTTTAGTGTTGATGGAGCACATGTGCTTACAAGTGTAGAAAATATAGCCTCTTTAGGGGAAATTCTTTATGGGTTTAGCAGTTACCTCTTCTGTTTTGAATGTGTATATGAATATTTAACTGGATTTGTTTAGTGGTGGATATGTGTTAGCTAACCAGATTGGTAGAGCTGTTGGTATTCAGAAATGTCTAATACGTTAGAAGGCTCTGATCATTTTATGTTTTACAAGGGTTAAAATGTGGATTCTGAAATCAGCTGGGTTTGAATATAGCTCTGCAGCTCAGAAGCTATGTGACAGTGGGCAGACTTCTAGCCATTTGGAGCCTTTTCTTTAAAATGGGGACAATCACAGTATATCCTCAAAGACTGCTTAAAGAATGAAATATAAAAGTTAAAGTTCTTAGCACAGTGATTAGCACCTATAGAGTAAGCATTAAATACCCTGTGTTAGCAATAATTAATAGTGTCTTCTTTGATGATAAGCTTAAGTAAATGCCTGTTGTAGATTATTTGGAAATTAGAAGCATAACGATGAAATAGAATTTCTTCCATCTTAAAAACAATATTGATTTCATTTTTCCCACCTGATATATGTAATATTTTGTACATAATTGTAACTATACTGTATATGACATTTTATATTCTGATCGTTTCCCTTCACATTATATACAAGCGTTTTCCCAATTGAAAAATTATAATTTTCTTACATATGGGTGCCCTCATTTTTGGATATTTAAAGTATTTCAAAAATTTTTATTTTAAGACTTATTGAATGTCTGTTTCTAGTTCAAATTACTTCATAGACTGGGATTGTTGACATAAAATTACTAGGTCAAATGTGTTAATGTTTAGAATTACTAGGTCAAAGTGGCATTCATTTTATTTTTTATTTCTGTGCTCCTCCTGAATTAGAAAGCTTGGTGTCTGTCTGTCAGTCTTTTGTATTTCTTTTTTGTTCCCATTCATTGCCTGTTTGTATTGTGAGTCTGACATTTTTCTTACCTGTTTTATCAGTTCTTGTATATTAAGACTATAAACATTTTTCTTATTTATTGTAAGCATTTTCTGTTTATGAATATCTTCCTTATACTGTTTTTTATTTTTTAGATTCATCATTTTTTGGATTTTGTGAAACAGATTTATAAGGAGCTTCCAAAAGTAGTGGTATGGTTTTAATATTATTTGAATTTATTACTTATATTTATTTATTACTTTCTTATTCCAAAGGGAGTTTGGAGCAGTTGGATTGAAGGAATAATTGGGGGATGCTAATTTTAGAATGGGGAATGTTTATTGAGGTCAGAATCTAGGTTGATAAGTCAGTCATTTAAAAAAAGAGTTCTTTTGGTTTCACTGTTTAGGTTAAATAGTATATTCTTACTGTAGAAATTTTGCAAAAAAAGACAAGATAAATCCATATGGTTCTCACTTGCAAGCAACCATTGACATTAATGTTACGTGTTTCACTTGGTGCTTTTTAAAGATGGTTGTGCTCACAACTGTGAAGCCTTTTTGGGGAGGTGGTGTATACTTTCAGCATAATTTTGTATCATTAGAATTCTTTCCTTTATTGAAAGAACTCTTTCCAAGCAATGCCAGCAGTGTAAGAGTGTGTGGAATAGAAGAGGAACTTCTTCTCTGCATTTTATTCTCGCTTATTAGAAGTCCAAGCTGTAAACAGTTTGGAACATCTTCCAAGATCTTTTTCTGGCAGTCATAATTTTTAGTGGCCCCATAATTTTCTGTCATATGCATGTAGCTCAACCATCTCCCTGTTGCTAGTTTTCCCAGTTTTCAATTCTTTACTACCACAAATAAATGTTTTGGTAAAAATCATTGCACATAAATTTGTTTTTAAAGAATTTTTTTAAATGAACATATGATAAAGTTGTCTTTTAGGTATTTTAAGGATTTTAACCTGCTAATAATGTATAAAACTTAAAATTAATTACATTCTGAATTATCAGGTCATGTTACCTACCATTTCAGCCAGAGTTTTTCATAAGAAGCTGTTTTGTTTAACCTTTATCCGATGAAAGGGAACTTTAGATCCCGGCAAGGAGTGGGTCCCCCTGGTCGAATTTAAATGCTGACGGAATTTAAATGCCGTCTTTTAAAGGTTAATATGAAGTCCAAATTCCTCTGAGAACTAAGGATGACAGTGAGTTCCTGGCCTTTATAAATGTCTCCTATTCTTTGCTTCTGGTCCTGTCTTTGATACCTCTCTGGGAGACTGTTTGGAAAGTTAGTTCAGTAGGGACCAGCTCCTAGTTTCTCATCGCTGGAGCGATGGGGTCCATTCTCTTGCCTCACTGAGGCAGTAACGTAACCTGGCATGCGTTTCATCCTTCCTCAGCCAGGAAGGAGCACTGGGTTCTTGGGACAAGTTTTTATTTTCTGTTGTGGGAGGTGGAGAAATGTTGTCTCTGTCATGTTGTCTTTATAGTGTTGAATAAAGAGGAGCCCAAGTACTATGGGTTTGAGCAAGATACATACATGCAGGACATTTGGTTTCTCCCACCACATGTGTCAGGTTTATTTTACTAAGGAATATTGTGTTTGACTTATTAGGAAAAATGATTTTTCTTGTTCTTCTGTAGAACCGCTACTTTGAGAACCCTCAGGTGATCCCTGAGAACACAGTCCCTCCCCCAGAAATGGTTGGTATGATCACAACAATTGCTGTAAAAGTCAATCCTGAGCGTGAGGACAGTGAGACGAGAACAGTAAGTTTTTTCAGTTGTTTTGCTCTTGTTTTTATCCATGTCTCTCTATTTGGTAGGTGAAAATATGAGACAGTGACTTTTTTTTTATTAAAAAATTAAAAAAAATTTTTTTAAATTGATTTCAGAGAGGAGAGGGAGAGAGAGAAACATCAATGATGAGAGTCATTGATCGGCTGCCTCCTGCACGCCCCCTGCTGGGGATCGAGCCCACAACCCGGGCATGTGCCCTGACCGGGAATTGAACCACAATCTCCTGAGTCATAGGTTGATGCTCAACTGAGTCACGCCATCTGGGTGAGATAGTGCCTTTTTAAACCCCTTAAGTTTTTTGTTTTTTTCTTAAACACTTGGAGGCATTTAAGATGAACAACTGTGTGTGCATGAGAGAGCATCACTGATTCTACTGTGTAGGCTCAGACTGGTGAAAATGAACTCTTGCTTTGACGCAAAGATATAAACAAAATTGTAGTGGAAATCCAGAATCACCTGTTGGAAAGAGAAGCTGACCAGGCTAAAAGGGCTTCTTTTCCATCCTTAGTGTTGACATTAATGAATCCCTTTAAACATATAGATTGTAGATCAGTGCGTGAGAGCATGGGCTCTGGGGACAGAAGCTCTGGGATGACATTCTGGCCCCAACACTTGGGTTTTCTGACTGTTAGAAAGTTCACGAACGTTTGTTCTGGCCTTAATTTTTCTCTCATTATCTGAAAAACCTGTCTTGTGGAATTTTGTGAAGTTAATGCTGGTAATTGTCTGCAGGTAATGTATTTGTAGTATGTGCCACAAAGGTAACGTATTGAGCATTTATTGAATATATTTTTATGATAGAATTAAGAATATCAGCTGTATTTGTTTTACTGAAATGGTTTTGCAGAATTTAAAAAAAAAAAATATTGATTTCAGAGAGGGGAAGGTAGAGGGAGAGAGAGAGAAACATCAATGATCAGAGAGTCGTCATTGATCGGCTGCCTCCTGCACACTCTGCAACTGGGGATCGAGCCCGCAACCAGGCCTGTGCCCCAACCGGGAATCAAACCTCGATCTCCTGGATCCTAGGTTGATGTTCGACTGCTGAGCCACACCCGGCTGGGCAGTTTTGCAGAATATTTTCATTTGTGCTAGCATAAGCAAACTGCATTTTGAATAAAGCCTTCATTCCTTTGCTCTTCCTGAATTAGAAACTTGTTTTCTGTTTATCAGTATTTTTTTGCTGGTCTGTTCTATTCATTGCCCATTTGTATGAGTCTGACATTTTCCTTACCTGTTTCATGAATTCTTATATATTAAGACTATTCATTTTTTTCTTATGTATTGTGTGCATTTTCTGTTTCTAAGTATTTTTGAATAAAACTGGGTAAATATGCACTCTTTGCCATTGTTCTTTTAAGTAAATAATAGATACTAATTTAAAATTTTTCTCAGATGGCCCTGGCTGGGTGGTTCAGTTGGTTGGAGCATCATCCTGTACACCAAAACGGCTGCAGGTTCCTTCCCAGTCTGGGCACATGCAGGAGGCAGCTAATCGATGTTTCTCTCTTCCCCTCTCTCCCTGAAAATATAAATATATATTTTATGTATCCTCGAATGAGGATTAAAATGATATATATATAGTTTTTCTCAGATGATTTGAATTTCTAAGTTTTGACAAATTTTCTTGAAGTTATTTACTACAGGTGATTACATTGGAAAACATGAAAACCTCTGTATTAAATTATAGTTCTATATACTTTGTTTTTAAAATAGTTTGGATCTTTCCGCATAGATACGTCGGTATTTCCCTTCCCTTCATTGCAGTGGGGTGATGCTCAGTACTGGGGTGCTGACTGGGGCTGGTGCCACAGGGATAACCACAGTGCTGCTTGTTTCTTCTCTCTTTCAGCATTCCATCATTCCAAGAGGATCTCTTTCTCTGAAAGTGTTGGCAGAATTGCCCATTATAGTTGTTTTAATGTATCAGGTACGTATATTGTTACTAGTTTCATGGGTTTTTGGCTTCTTATTTTATAACAAAGTTCATATCTAATGACGTGTGGCAAAAAGATGTGTATGATACCCACATGCTAACTAATGCAGGACTCCTGTCATTTCTTTGGTATGCCAAACTACTTTCCTATAGGAGACAATGTAAAAGCATGAAACTCTGATGTGTTTCTTTTAGCTCTACAAACTGAATATCCACAATGTAGTTGCTGAATTCGTGCCCTTGATCATGAATACCATTGCAATTCAGGTGTCTGCACAAGCCAGGTGAGGTTTCCTCAGACGGTGACATACTGACTGTCATAGTGCTTTAATTCCAAGTAAATATATACTTTGCTGTTGTCATTTTAAGGCATAAAATTTTTAAGTGATAAAATTTTGGTAAAATTATATTTAGTTTTTACTTTTTGAACTTCTATGATGATAGTAACAGTTATTTTAGTTCTGTATTTTGAAAAGATGAGCTAAAGGTATTAAACCTTGGTTTTTGGTGTCTCGTAAATTTAAAACTTTTATTACGAATTACTATACTCATTTCTATCTGTGGGATCTCTAAGCCTTTCTCACCTTCAAGCTTTTCTTTGTTCTTGCTGTTCTTTTCAGCATGAGGGCTAGAATTTCTTTACCCCCTCAACTCCCCCATTTCCTCCACCCATCAGTCTTGATCACTGACTAGGTGAACCATGTTCATTCTCTCCGTGAAGCTTTTTCTCAAGCTTTACAGCTTTCCTCTTAAGACCTTTCTCACTTTCCTTTTTTTTCTTTTCTTT